CAGCAGAGGCAGTAAGTTCGAGGCTAGCCTGGTCTTCAAGGAGAGTTCCAGGACAATCTCTAAAACTACAGAGAAACCCTATCTTGATACCGCGCCCCCCAAAAAAATTCAAAAACCAAAACAAAACATCATGCAGGCTTGGTGGCATATACCTTGAATTAGAGCATTTGTTAGAGGAAGGAGGGTCTCTTAAGTTTTGAGGACAGCCTGCGCTACATGGATTTCAAGGGCAGATAGGAGTACATTAGTAAGACCCAGTCTCAGAAACAAACAGGTTTGGCTAGGTGGTTCAAAGTATAAAGGTTCGCCGGGCGTTGGTGGCGCACGCCTTTAATCCCAGCACTCGGGAGGCAGAGGCAGGCGGATCTCTGTGAGTTCGAGGCCAGCCTGGTCTCTAGCGCGAGTGCCAGGATAGGCTCCAAAGCTACACAGAGAAACCCTGTCTCGAAAAACAAACAAACAAACAAACAAAAAACCAAAGTGTAAAGGTTCTTGCCACCAAGCATGAGGCCATGGGTTCGATTTCTGGGACCCACATAGTGAAAAGAGAGGCCCAGCTCCTTCAAGTTGTCCTTTGACTTTAACAAAATAAAACCAAAAGAACTCAGAAGGCAGAGAGAGGCAGATCTCTGTGAGAGTTGTGAGTTCCAGACCAGCTGGGGATACACAGTGAGGCACCGTCTCAAAGGGGGAAAAATGAGACGAAAGGCTACAACTTGAGTAAAGGAGTGAGGAGGAATCTAGGTCTGCTGCAGCCCCACTTCTCTCCTCTTGTGATCTAGGGGGATTGGGGTGGGGCTTCCATTCCTATAGCGCAAGCATCTCAGTAGCGTTCGTGAGATTCAGTGATGCTGAATCCCCCGAAGTACCCTCATCCAGGCAATTCTCAGAAAAGCAGCAGGTAAAGAAGGCCGAGCTCGCCGATGGCGTCCTCAGAACGGGACGAGCGACGCGAACCTGAAGATTCTCTTCGGAATGGGCGGGGAGGGGGGAGCGTCCCGAG